CCCACTGCAGCCACTGATGTCTTCATCTGTAGGCGCAGCCACCCCAAACCCTGAATGAAACCAGAGCAGGCCTAACAGTCGCCTTGCCCATCTAGGAAGTCTGGAGTTAGTTGGCCATCCTCAGACCCAGCAGCTAAGGTCACAGATGGATTCTGTGCCGTCATGGGCCTCCAGATGAAAATGCTACTTAAACATACCCTTGTTATAACCTAGTTTTAACCACTGCGCCTCATTTCTGTTCTGTAAGCGCCATACTACCTCCCCCTTCCCCCTTTCCCCCTTCATATCTATCTAGGTTAAGTTTCAATTTCCTGAAAGGCTGTAAAAGCCTTAGGTATCAGTTTCCTGTAACCCCCTCCCCTACCCCTCATCCAGCTATCTGTAATAAAATGTGCTGTTCTTTAAGAAATGCTTAACTTCAAGGAAATTACAGGAAGTTCTGTAAGGCCCAGATGCTATCTAACTGGGTCAAAGTTCACAACATTCCTGTGGTTTTTGCCTTTAAAACCCAACCTTTCTAGCTGTAAGGCACACAGTCTCCAAATTGGCTCCCGGCGACTGCGTCGCCAAGCCTGGCCTAAAATAAAGCCTTTGTTCCCCTAATTTTAATTTCTTGCTTCCTTGGGTTTTACTCCGGGGTCCGAGCTATCACAACCCTTTCCTTCTCCCCTCCCACTCAGGGCTCCTCACTCTTATCTTCTTCAGCCCAATCATATTCTCTTCCTCATTCTCTTACTTTCACATATGAACTCACATATCACACCCACACAGACCTATCCACCCACACCCTCACCCAGGACAGACCCACACACTCATTGACCCTCCATCCTCACTGAGGAAGGACAGAAGGACTGAATGGCCTCAGCTCACCACCAGCCCAGCTGAGGGCTGCTGAAGTTCCAGCATGCCCTGCAGCACCACCCATTGAGGTAGACAAATCTACTTCCTGCCTTCCCAGAATGTTTAAAATAAACAAGACACTCCCAGGAGGTCATTTGCATCAAACTGAAAGAGGCTGTGTTTTAAATCTCTATGCCTCTCCCAAAGACAATGAAAGGCAACTGTGAGCAATTAGTAAATATTAATTAGCAATGGTTCTAAGACAAGATGCAAACATTATAGTCTTCACTTCTACAAAACCTGTTTGAAACAATTTTTAAATATAAAGTAGAATTTTTTAAACAGAAAGAAGAAAGTGAAGAAGGTCAGAGGTAAAACAGAGATGGTCTGTGCAGTTTGGACACAAAGGAGGGAAGTGGAGGTAAAGTCAAGGATAGTCCTCAGAGCAGCATGCCAATAGACGGGGTGAACAGGAGAACCCAGTAAAGAGGGTAACAGGAGCACTAATCCAAAAACGCTCACAGCCAGCCCTAAAACAGCTGTGGAAAACTCTGAGCAAACAGCCTGGCTACAGTTGTAGATGTTTCTCTTAATCATACTAAGCTTCTCATCTATCCAAACTGTCTGCATTCCTGAAGCTGCCCAAAGACTGAGTAAGAGAAGCCAGGGACCAGACCTTTTTTACATCTCATTTGGATTACAGAAACAGCCTCCTGACTGGTGTCTTCACACGTTCTATGGAGTTTTCTATACAACACACAGAATGATCTTTCTAGAACTCAAATTTGATGATGAAATCATTGTCTACCATGTCTCCCATCCAGGCAAACGATTAAATCCACCCTGCTTTGCCTAGCCATTAGCCCTTCATCACAGAACTCCTGTCAGCCTCTCCATTTTAATCTCCCAAACCTTCCCCTTTAATTCAAATATATTCAATCCAGGCAGCTACTTCGTGCCAGACACACAGTATGCATAAAAACACAAGTAAGATAAAATCCCAAACTTCAAAATGAAAGGGAAGGAAAGCACTCTAAAGGATATAACTTTATGTGTAAGTGTATGAGATCCATGCCATATTATTAAATTTTTGTTGGGTCATTGAACACAATGGTTTGCACTGTCAATGTTTGAGTGTCTATCCACTTTTTATGCTTTTTGTAACTTGAACCACCATTTCTAAGATGACAATTGCTGTACACTAGCAAAAAAAGCTTCCATTATGTTTGTGTTATGCCTAAATTATATGACCAAAATACCTGAAACGCAGCCATACTGTTCTGTATGCGTCATTTTTTTCTGGGTGACCTAATTGATATGTTAATCAATGCTCCCCTTTGTAAAGAATTGTAAATCCCTGGGAACCTGACCTAATTGATATGTTAACCTTCGCTGCCCTCTGCAAACAACAGATGTTATCTAAAATTGGATGCTAAAATAAGTTGACAAAGGATTGTTAATTCCTGCTAGACTTCTCTGTTCTCTGCAAAGGAAAACAAAGGTCTTCCTTATTCCTTAGCAGATTTCCTGATCCATGCCCATAACCCCTTACTTTGTAAACCGTGCTTTCTACAAAAGTCTGGAAAGTTTTGAGGAAGACACACAGCTTTTGCAAACTCCAAGTGCACTGTGTCACTGGCCCCATGATAAAATAAATCAGTACTGCTTTTTAAAAACATGTCTTGCCCCATTTTTGGACTCAAGATTGGGGGTGTAAGGGCTCATTTTTGGATTACAAGAACAATATGTAACGTATCAACTAGATTTCTTAGTGTTAATTTTTTTAAATTCTGTATTACTCTACTTTTTTTCTGTTTTGTCTTTTTCTTTCTTTCTTTAAATAAATAAAAATTTTTTTTAAATTTCAATCTTCGTGGAGCATACATTTTAGTGATCAGAGGCAAATAAACACTTGGATAATGCATATGAAGCTAGGGTATGGCAAATGCTAAGCACAAACACAGAAATTTAGTCTAACAGGATGGACAGCAACAGGGGCAGTTTTATTTGTTTGTTTGTTTGGTACTCAACTCAGGATCTTGCCACTACCAGGCAGGTGCTTATGCAGCTGAGCTATATCCCCAGCCCCAGAGCAGTTTTAGGTAAGGAGACAAGTCTGACCAAGACTGAAATGAAATGATGGAGAGCCATGAGATTATGTGTGGGGGGAAATGGTCTAGAAAAGAGCTCCACTCTACTTCCTGAAGAGAAATATGCTTGGTTTTTTCTGTGCAACAGCAAGGAAACCAGTCTGGCTTGAATAGAGGGAGCACTGGGGAGAGTGCAAAAAAAAGAAGTGGCGGACAGAATCACCTTTGGAGGCCTGACAGGCAAAGTAAGCTACCTATCTCAGTTTCTCACTACTGTGGTTCTGAGCATGCTTAGAGAGCCAGTCCCACCTTTGCCCATCTGGAAAAGTGTTGGGCATCTTTCAAAAAAGCCCCGCTGGGGCGGTGCAAGCAAGCCATGGGCACTCCAAAGAGAGAACAAGTCAGCATCTCCAGAGAATCAGCCATGCTGGAACTTGGGGGGCCCGACCAAGAAAGCAACAAACTATCCCTCCTAGTAAGCAGTGCGAGCAGGCCGCAGGCATGCCAAGGAGAAAACAATTCAGTGTCTCTCATCAGTCTACCAGCAAGCAGGCTGAGAAACAAAGGTCTCTCCCCTACTTTAGCAACTAGATGGTTTCCAGGTGTACATAACACAACTAAATGCTTGTATTGTTTGGTTGATTATGCAGGCCTGGGGTCAGAGATCTGAGCATCTTTTGGGAAGATAACAGTATGCAACATAGCAAATATGGGGCATTTCCTTCTATCTTGTCTTTGAAGGCCAATAGTTTTCACTGTTTTGCTTTGTTTGGATTGTTTTGCTCTATTCAATATTCTGTTTTGATTGGTTTTATAGTGTTTTGGTTTTGGTTTGATTTTGCTAAACTTGATTGAGTGGACAACTATTATGAAGATAACAAGATATACTATTATTGTTAATCCCGGTATCCTCCTCTGAAGCTCTGTATGAATTTCACTGCATTGTCTTGAGTGGCTTTGTTCTGTCTTGTTGTGTTGTATTTTACTATCTTTAAAAAAAATTTTTTTTAAAGCCCAGCTGGTATGTCACTTTGTTGGTGAAAGTTTCTAGACATCCCCCACCTGCAACAAGCTGGCAGTAAGAGCTCACTCCTTGGCTGCCTCAGCACCTTAAACACACTAAAGAGTAAAATCTATTTATGTGTCTGCTCCCCTCCAGGATTCTAGGAGTATATGAATCACCTGGACTGAAAGGGTGTTGGCCCGGACAGAACACTGTAGCCAGGAAAGCCTCAACCGGAAGCAGAAAGCTCCTATCTCCCCCGCCCCTAGGAAGTTACCTGTGATGCCATCTTCCTGCCCCTGGAAATTTACATATGGCGCCAAACCTAGGACCAATGGGCTACCTGTGCATCCCTAATGCCCGCCTTAGGTTCCACCCCAAACCCAGGCTATTTACATGCCCCCACGCCGCGTGTCTGCCAGAGAGATCACCAGACCACCAGACGCCAACGGTGGGGGTGTCGGTCATCTCTCTCTGTGTTCTCAGAATAAAGGCTGCTTTTTATTTTATACTTCTCATCTTTTGGAAATAATTTTTATCTTTTGGAAATAATTCTAGCATGGACTAGTACGGTGTTTAGGACATATAAACAGCAAGAGACCAAAATTATCTGTTGAGTTAAACTAGGGTTTGAACTAAAATATCAGTCATAAGAAAGAATAATAATGTAACTTTCCCAATAAATTTTAATATGGACATAACTATTCATAAAAGAAGCTTCAATTGTACAAAAACACCTAAATATATTTACACTGTCATCATAAATAAATTCAAGAAATACAATCTCGCACTAAAAAGAAGCTGCCTATGTAGGGAGAAAGGTAGCACGTAGAGGAACAAGAAGAGTAGGTAATCATGAACTTGCTTAATTATAGTCTAATTTCCACCCACAAGCTGAAAAGGAGGGTCCTCTGATCATGTGGAATCTAGGACAGCAGATGGCCCAGAAGGATGGCAGGCCATTCTGCCAACGACGAACTCTTACAACAGGTCACTTCTCAAAAATATGTCCAAAAATTCCCATGTTCACAAAGGAAAAAGAGAAAGAAAAATGCTTTTGCTTTTACCTCTGCATCCAGAGTAGCTGAAGCCACAATCAGTCGAAGGTCTCCCCGTTTTTTCTGAATCTATAAAAGAAGGCATTAGGAAACGATGATAACATTAAGAACACTTAGAGATGAAATAATCTGGTATCTGAAATTTACTCCAAAATTAACCAGTGTGTACACTGGGAGTTTTATTAACTTAAACAAGAATGACCACAAATTAATAATAGTTAAAGTTACAGATAAAAGTGAGATCACCACTGTGTGTGTGTGTGTGTGTGTGTGTGTGTGGTTTTTTTTTGTTTTTGGTTTTGGTTTTTTTTGGTATCGGGGATCAAGCTCACAACCCTGCCCTTGCCAGGCAGGTGTTTACGCCACTGAGCTAAATCCACAGCCCTACCATACTATTCTAATTTTGCAAATGTATGGCATATTCTAAAATGAAAGCTAAGACAGCTGGATGGAGTGGCACATGCCTATAATTCCAGTACTTGAATGATAGAGGCAGGAGGATTGCAACTTCAAGGGCAGACTGAGCTTCAAGTTGGACTGAGCATCAGGTCAATTTGAACTACATAGTGAGATCCTACCTCAAAGGGAAAAAAAAAGCTAACAAAAACTTTACACAAAATCCAAGCAGGATTTTAAGATCTGAATTTTTTTTTTTGTCTTTTTCTTTTTTTATCGGTATCAGGGATCGAACTCACGGCTGCACACTTTGCAAGGCAGGCGCTTATGCTGCTGAGCTAAATCCCCAGCCCCAATCTGAATTTTAATTAATTGAGAAAAAAACCATTTTTTTCTGACATGAGGTTTTGTGATAGTACGAATCTACATATATATACATAGTCAAGCATACAAAAAACTCATTATCTGTTCAACCTAGGTAATCTTCTAGGTATCATCAGATCACAATCATACATGAATACCTAGCACCACAACTTATAATAGCTTAGTCTTGGAAGTAGCCTATATGTCCTATATTTATCATTCACTAATAGATGAATGCATAAAGAAATATACAAGGGAGTCCTTCTCTGCCATACAGAAGGATAAACTTGAGTATTTGTAAGAAAATGGATGCACTTTGAGCCATAATGTTAAGTGAAATAAATCAGGCCCACAAGCTTAAGTATTGCATGATATATCTTATATAAAAACCTCAAAATGTAAATAAAGAACAAAAAGATAGTAAGTAGAGAGACAGAGCTTTTGCAGATGGGAAGGGGCTCAAGAGATGAAGGAAAAGCAGAGGAAAAAGGGGAGGGGAAGGGGATGAAAAAAGAATTAAGACATGTTATATACATGCATCAAACTCCCACAGGAATGTAATCATTGGACACCACAAACATATACTAATAAAAAAATTTTAGTACCAAAAAATCAAAATGCTTTCTAAAGATAATCTGCTTATAAAATTTAGTGTGATCCATATGTATACAAAACCAAGGATAAAATAAAGTACTCGTGTATGAGGGTGAAAAAAGTACATTAAAAGTAAATAAACAGTAGCACTAAAAGAGAAATATAGACATTAAGAGTTTTTTTAAAAAGATGATCAACAGGAGAAATCATCAAATAAACTGCAGCAAAACATGTAACAACAATTAGAATTTATTCTTCACCAATCACATCCCAAGGATTTATTTTTCAAGGATAATACTCAATGTTGGTAAAGAAGTGAAATAGGCCATTGTATTATAGTGTTCCTGAAAATGCAATAACCCAGGAAGAAAACTTCTAAGTATCAAAATGTCTTATCTTTGGCCAAGTTAACAAAACAATAATGCAATAGCAAATTATGCACTACTCCAGAGCCCCTGCATACAGCTGTACTAAGATTGCACTGCACTAAGACACCTGGGTGAGGAGGGCAAAAGCACCTGAAACCCAGCCCACATGCCTGACATCCTCCTACCATGGGTGCTTTTTTCTTACTTGCACAAACATGCCTCATGGTCTAGTTGTGATCTATCCTAAGAGTTTTACATTATCTATTTAAGCCTGGTAGCAAATTATGATGCAGAACAGCTCTGTCCAACAGAATTCTTCTCAATGATGATGACGTTCCTTATCCACACTGTAATAACCACTCACCATACATGGCTACAAAGACCTTAAAAAAAGTCAGTGTGATTATGGAACTGAATTTTTAAATTTTTATTCTACCTAATTAATTAAATCTAGATAGCCACTTTTTACCATAGGCTGGAGATAGATAACTCAGCAGAAAGAAAATTTATACCCAGACAGTATGATCCAGGACCTGTAACCCTTGTTTTTTTCTTTTTCTTTTTCTTTTTTTTTTTTTTTTTTTTTTTTTTTTGGTACAGGGGATCGAACTCACAAACTTGCACTTGCCAGGCAGGTTCTTGTGCCGCCTAGTTAAATCCCTGGCCCAGGACTTGTGATTTTAATTGCTCTCATCTACCACTTCTTTCTAGCCTCCTGTTACTGGGAATTTGTCCAAAGACAATGATCAGGAATAGTGATAGGGAGTTCAGAGGTAAGGATGAAACAAAATTAGCTATAAGCTATAATTGAGGCAGCTAGATAATGGGCATGCAAAGTGCATTATAACCTTTCCACTCTGGAGTATGTTTGAAACCTTAAGAAAAACTTAAAAAGAAAAAAAACAACATAGTTATAAGGATGTTCACTACAGAGAAGTATTTGAAATATATAAAATCTAACCATAGGAGAAGAACTAAATACCTTCTGGTAGAAACAAGTAATTATGTAGCCATTAAAAATGCCTTCAGCCAGCCATGGTGGCACACACCTATAATCCCAGCACTCAGGAGGGTAAGGCAGGAAGACTGCCATGAGCTCAGGGCCAGCCTGGGCCACAGTGAGTTCAGTTCAGCCTGAACTATATAGCAAGACCCTATCTGCAAAAAATTAAATAAGTAAAAATAAATAAAAATAAAAACTTATCTCCAAGCAATAAAAATAATAAAGAATATTTAATGACACAGAGAAATGATCTTGATGTAATGTTAAAGAAATGCACAAAATAAAAATTAGCACAAACAATCCAATAACCATTGTGCCAAAATAGATTCTTGTACAGAGATAGATACACATAGAAAAGAACACATCAATATTTTAAGAGTGATTTTATTTCTGGGTGGGTGAAATAATGCATGATTTTTTTCCTTAGTATTTTGTTGGATCTTCCAAATTGCTAGTTACTTGTCTAATCAGACAACAAAACTAAGACACAAAAAACAGAACTCTGGCCAGGTGTGGTGGTGCAGACCTGTAATCCAAACACATGGGAGGCAAAAGCAGCAGGATCACCATGAGTTCAAAGCCCGTTTGAGCTACACAGTGACACCCTGTGTCAAAGAAAAAGAGAGAAAGGAAGGAAGGAAGGAAGGAAGGAAGGAAGGAAGGAAGGAAGAAAGAAAGAAAGAAAGAAAGAAAGAAAGAAAGAAAGAAAGAAAGAAAGAAAGAAAGAAAAAAAGAAAACAAGCAAGCAAAAAAAAAAAAAAAAACCACAAAAACAAAACAACTCTGGCAGTGGAGTCATACCTTCTTTAGCAAGCCAATGGCAATGTCAGTGTACAAGGTCCTCTCGTGGGCTTCGTCCAACATGATGGCACTAAGAATGAGAGGGATGCTCCTGTGACCACTAACACAACAACCCCACATAATCCCATCCAACAAAGGCACTCCTGGGTACTGAGCTCTCATACAGTTACCTCAAATCAAAAGGAAAGCTTAAGGGTGAAGTAATTCTTAGGCTAATAAAAATGGTGACATCAACAAATCTTGGTTTTAAAAATGACAATTTATGCTATCTTTAAAGTGCATCAAGCAGGTATGGTGGGGCACGTCTATAGTTCCAGCACTTGGGAGGTTGAGGCAGGAGGATCACTGTGAGTTTGAGGCCAGCATGGGCTACAAAGCAAGTTCAAGGCCAGCATGAACTACACAGTGAGACCCTGCCTCAAAAAGACAAAAATAAATAAATAAATAATAAAGAGCATCACCAGCCACACTGCATTCTAACAGGATCTAATAGTTGATTTTCAACAGCAGTATAATCCACAACCCCACAGAACACAACATCACAACAAATCCAAACTACCTGAAGACTGGTAAGCTATAGAAACAACCAAACAATTTAGTTGGTCACACACATGTATCAGAGAGTCAAATGGGACATCCTCTTCCAGAACGCTACAGACCTTGAGGAGCAACCTTAATATTGTATATGAAGGACAAAGGCTCACACAGAGGCAGAAAGTGAGAAATAATTATCTGGACTTTGTGCATTGCATTCAGCAAAACACTGCCCAGGTAATTCTCTGCTATGCTGTGTGACTCTGTATCACTATCTATGCTGGAATGGCACAGAGGCAAGATAAACCAGCCAAATCTATAGGCTGCTTAAATGACAGAGATTTTCATTTATTCACATTTGTCTACTTACATGTCCATTGTTTGCTGTCAGCAGGGACCATGCTATCTAATTTCTGAGAAAAACATCAAGGGTTGAAATAGCTATGGTCAACAGAAAAGTTCTGGCCAGCTGAGCAGAGATGTAAATCTCAGTAACAACTGTTTATCAATCTACTTGTGGACTTTGGAGACCTCAGGAACATTATCAAACACACTTACCTATATTTTGTTAACAATGGATCAATCATCATTTCCCTGACCAGCATTCCATCGGTAAGAAACTAAAAAATAAAATACAAAGTTTTATAAATAATTCATTTACACTGTATATTAATATTAAGATCTCTGTACTTTCCAGCAGACTAAAGTCCCTAAGGCCAGCATGATTTCCCACACTTTCTGCCATGGCCTTGCCCTACCTCTTACTTACTGTATGAAAAGTAGCCAAGTTCTTATCCTCTCTGAGTCTGACTCCTCACCCATAAGGTGAAGTAATACAAGCAGCTACTTGCATTATCATGAGCTCTGATAGTATATATAAAGTGCTTATCATAGGACCTAGCATACAGAGAGTTTAAGGAGTGTCAGTTATTATTTAGCATTAATAAATGCTTATTAAATGTTTCTGAAATATGCAGTAACAACCAGATGTTATCACCCCAAAACAAATTCAGTGTGTTAAGGCTAACGACTTTTAGTATGTTGTACCTTAGTATTTTATTTTTCTTGTTCTAAGGGATGCATTTCCACCATAGTTTGCTTAGACCTGGTGTCAGCTGCCACACACATGCATGGAAGTCAAAATTAGAACTTGCTACCAGCAACAAACCAGTTAAAAAAAGGAAAAACTTGAAGTTATAACCAACTAAAGCACAAAACTATCTCAGGAAGGAGTAAAAAAGAATCACTTGGTTATATAACCCATTGAACATTAGCTTGTTCAAATATATCTGATGATAAGGACAGTTTACTCTTCTTTAGCTGGCAAGATGCATGTCAAAAGTAACAAAGAAATTTACAAAACAAACTGCATTCTTTTACACTACATTATTCACTCTGCTGGTCTAATTATTTTAGATTTTCCCTAAATGCAAATTGAAAGGTAACTGAGATTCTAATAATCAACCTTCATCTCATCAGAGCACTCCATTTATTGTTTTATTGCATTATCGGATTAGACTTTGATTCCAGTATTGCTATAAATAATAAATGCCCTGTTGAGTTGATTACTCATTGATTACTACTGACACTATTTTAATCTTTGCAATTAAATCAAATAACACACAGATAAAATCTATTATCAGGTAAAAAATAAAGTTTTAACTATTGAAAAAAATCATTCATGAATTCTACACTGCATCAATTTATACCATTTTGTCCCTGTCCTTAAATTCTTACAGGCTGATTCTATATTTAGATAGCTATGTGATTCAGTGGAAAAAAATAAAACACACATGAGCAGGACACTTTGAATCAGATACCACTATCACCAGTGGGTGAATAAATGTAAGCAAAGCAAACCTCCCAGGCCCTCAGCCTCTTTAGAATACAAACCAAAGGCTAAATCTTACTTTTCACTTCAGTTCTAAGCTAATATTCAGGAACTGTGCAAGATTTTTGTACCTCCCGGCAGACTAAAGTCTCTGAGGGACAGCATGATTTCCCATACTTTCTACCATGGCCTCGGTATATGGGGACTGCATGCTTGTAATTCTGCCCAAATAATTTTCATCCACATTCACACAAGGAAAAGCAGCTTAAGCACCTCACCTTAATCCTTGTTGCCAGTGGGTCGGTGCAATCATCAAAACGGATGCAGTAGCCCACCTCATGGCCCAGTACTGCACCCCTTTCTTCAGCTACTCTCCCTGCAACCTTTGGGAAGAAAGATCATGCTGAAAATAGAGACACAGAAATTACTGCACAGAGTACATACTATGGAAAATCTAAAGGTCACTGGTTAAGTGGTATGTGAACACTGGAAAATGAGAGAAAAGGAGCAAATCATTACAGAACAAATATGAAAAGTTTTGGAATTCATTAGCTGACATATTGATATACTTCACTTCCCTCTACCACACTATTTGGGCAATTTATAAGAATACACAAAATAAAAAAGAAATCACAAAAAGATGTTACAAATCAAGATGAAACACTGGGTCTGGATTGTGAGGCTCAGGGGTAGAGTGCTTCTTAGTATGTACAAGGCCATGCATTCGACCCCCAGCACCACTACAAAAAAGATAAATCAAAAAGACTTAAAGAAATGAAAAAAAGTTTTGAAAAAGATATGCCAAAGTTATGTAAGATAAGCTAAGCCACAAATTCAGCTCCAAGTGTGGTGACAAAGCACAAAAGAAATGACAAGACTCACTCTGCTCCTAAAGCAAGAGCTGGCCAAACAGAGACAACTTTTCAATCTCCATGCTTTAAAACAAAGCACCTTCCACTGGATTATGAAAGCAGAATAGGAGTGATCAAATTTAATACTGAGCCAAGTTCCTTTTAAATTTGGAGGCAAAACGATAATATTCAAGAGCTGAATACTTGAAAAACAATGCTCAAAAGTGTCCCAGCTACCAAAACCCATAAAAGGGGAAATGAGGACAAGAAAACAGGTTTAGGGAGGAAAAAAAGAAAAGCAGACAAGTGGAGGAGAAGATTAATAAAGGATTCAAATTGATATAATAACATAAAAGACAAGTATGTATAGGATGATGATCACAAACTATAGATGGAATTTTACCCACCAATATGGGACAAATAAAAGTTGAGTATAGGAAAGACCAAAAGAAAAACAAATTCAAGAAAGGGCCCAGTAAGAGGATGTAGCTCAGTGGTAGAATATTTGCCCGGCATATATGAGGCCCTAGGTTCAACTCCCAGCACTGCACACACACACACAAATTCTACCTATGGGCAAGATCCCTGATCTACTCCAAGAATAAAGCCAGATGCGGTGTCTTATGCCTTCAGCTACTCTGGAGACTGAAGTAAGAGGATTATGAGTTTGAGGCCAGGAAAACTCAGGCCTGGGCAACTCAAGATTATGTTTCAAAACTAAGTAAATAAACAAACTTAAAAGTAGAAGAGCAATAATGTTCAATCACTTAGCTTAATTTACAGGAAAATAGAGTCTCACACTCACACATAAACTAACAGAAAAGCACCAAAGAGTAGCCATAATATAAGAATATATGGGCACACGCACACTACACCAAACCAAGTATCCTGCTTCAGAGAGAAGGCACCCCTAAGTTCTCTGGCAGTTTCCTGAGTTCAGAAAATAGTCGCCACAGAAGGCGTCCTGAGGCACAGCTTACTGACACAGACATGTACCAGAAGCCCCAAGGTCTGCGGTGCAGAGACTCCCTGCGCTCAGTCCTCCCAAAGCAAGGACACTCTGGGTTATCTGCTCATCACTGTTTAAGAAACTACAGAGCAGATGAGGATCAGAAGTGGCTCTACACAGTAACTAGAAATTACAGCTCTGGCAAGCCAAAAGAGAATCAATCATCAAACAGCTGACCTGTACCAAGTACTCTTTCAAAACTCCTTACGAAACCAGAAATTCATCCTACATAGCTCAACCTCTGGAGATTGTATTTCTCCATAAACAGCATTTCCCAGGACAGTTTGTCATTGGTCTAAGTTTACTCTACAGGGTGGTATATTATAAATCTTGGAAGATGGTACAAATAGAGAATGTATACAAAGAGATACCAGAGACTCTGAAGAAAAAAGCTTCTAAGAATGAAAATAAATGAGCTGATCTTCTTCACTAAAACATAATCACTTCATGAGTCTAACAGTAAAACACAAACTTGTTTATCACTATTTCATTATTTGTATACATGAGCACTAAAATGTCTTTAATTTCAAACTCCCTTAATTTCAACATTTATAATCACACAGGGTTATATACTACTAGATTGTTATTAGATTTTTTCTATTGTTTACATTCTACTCCCAATAACCTCATCAACTAAAATGAACACGTATTATCTTCTTGAGAAACCAAATAGATTGAAAGGGAGAAGGTAAAACGAAAAACAAAACCAACCACAAAATACCTACAGCATGGCAAATGCTGGGTTCTGAGCATCTCGAGCTCAGGCCATGGGTAGGAACCCTTTATGTCTATGAGCGAGGAAGCTGAAAGAAGCCTGGTGCACAGCCTGCTCTGAGTTTCAGGTGGAGGAAGGCCTAGTCCAGAACTCAAGCTTGTACTGTGTGTGGCCAGTTAAGCATGCTCATTACAACAGCCTCTCCCGGAGAGCAAGCCCTGCTTATGCAATCTGTTCTCAGGTTCTGCAATTGTTTTCAGATTTCAGTCTTCACATAAAATATTTTCTGAGACAACATTTCAAATGTGACAAGTCCTATTAATATGACACGCTTAATTTATACACTCTTTGTTCTTTTCAAGAGAAAACTTGTGGTTGCATGGAAGTTTTCCACAACTACAAATTTGGAGCTAAAATGTAAACTGTTGAAGAGACTGGATTCCAAACCACAAACAGAAAAATGCTTTTTAGTCAACTGAGTCATAAAAGCTTAACTATTGCCATTGCAATACAGTTTCCAAACTATTAGCCCCTTTTTAACTCTCTCTCACACATACATACTACCTGTAAAATGTTTATCAACCTTTTCTAACTGCAAGATCATAAGACAATGGACTTTGCAGAAATTCCATTACAAAAAAGTAAATTCTATACAAAGCAAAAATAACTTGAGGAAATAGAATTAACTGCTTGTCCAGGTAAAAATGACCAAACAAAGTATCTTCCTCAGTCTCTCCAATCTCAAAACTAATAAAAAGCAACAAAACCTCCATCCTTAATGGAAGGACAGCCACAAGCCCACATAGTAAACCAGGAAGTACAAATGCCACTGTGAGATCTAAATTCAGAAGAAAGGAGGCCCAGGCCACCTCACAACCGCAGACTGCTGGTTAAAGTATCACCTCTAAAAGGTGAGGCCAATAATCCTATTAGAAGAAGTGACAGAGTTCAATGCCAGGAGACACAGGAAGTGTCACAGGGGAGCTGTCACTGATAGAGAAGAATGTCAGGAGAAAGCAGTAAAGAAACAGAGGCAAATGGCAGGCAGAATACAAGTATCAAATCCACAAACACAGAACCCTAAGAATTTTATCTTGAGCCACAAAGACTGCTCAAGTCACCAAGGAGTGCGTCACCAGATCCTTATCTTCACCCTTACTCCAAACCAGGAAAGAGCATCAAAGAGAAAGCATGCCCCAGCTAAACCAAGTGTCTCACAGCTCTGTGACAGCCAGCAGCCTCCTTCAGCCTAACACAAAAGTACTAACATAACACCAGCACACGAAAGTTGACCAAAAAGGAAGAAACACGAGGAAATAATATGAGCAAAATAGCAATTTAAAATGAAAATGTAAAAGCGTTACTGGAAGCATACAGCTATGGAAACTGGGTTTCAAAGAAATCCCAAGCTGATGCTAAAAAGAACTTAAGGAATAGACAAAGAAGAGTCAAGGAGGAACAAGGGCTACACGAACAGGCCAGAAGCCAGTCTGGGAAAGTCCTGCAGAACTTACCACTTGAACATGAAAGAAACTAGAAAGGTTTTCCCAAATTTGAAAACACCTCAAATTTACACAGTGCTACAAGTAAGTTACAAAGTAAAGAACTTTACCACCATCAATAACAAAAAGCAAAGGTTAACTGACCATCTTAGAAGAAAGACTAAAATGTTGCTCTCTTCTCCCTAGGAAAATTGCTCTACTGTCTAGGAAAATAATAGAACACCACTGCTCCATAAGGAAGCTGTCAATGGAACGCAGTCAAGAATTGTGGGAAGAGTTTATCGAAATGTGTCTATCAGATAATTGATATTTTTAAAAATGATGTTATTTTTTATGTATTTTTTTGTGTTTGTGGCATTATCAGCTTTTAAAACTATAATATGATATAGTATCTTCTTTCACTCTATTTGCTTCTCTGTTTACTGAAAACAAGGGAGGAATAGTACAGCAGCAGAGATTTACCTAACATGGTCAAAACCTGAATTAGATACCCAGCTGTGCAAAAGAAACAAAGAAAGGACAGAGGGAGAGAAGAAGGGAATGGAATGGGGGGGGGGGAGGAATAAAGAAAAAAGAGAGGAGGAAGACAAAAGAGATGGAAAGCAGGAAGAAGAAATTCAAAGTGCCAGAAATTCACAAACATAGTGAATAGTGGATAAGCCTGAAAAAATATCACAAAGAGAACTGGAGAGGAGCAGATGATTCCAGCCAGAGATGGTTATCAATACTAAAAGCAGACAAAAGATATCTAACATGCACTTATTTGATGCTCACAAAAGAGAATAAAACAGAGGGCTGGGGATTTAGCTCAGCGGCATAAGCACCTGCCTTGTAAGCAGGCGGTCGTGAGTTCGATCCCTGGTACCGATGAAAAAGACCAAAAAAAAAAAAAAAAAAGAGAGAGAATAAAACAACTGGAATAGAAAGGTATGCCAAGATATAACAAAGAAAACTTGTCTGACATAGATTTGATCCAGAAGATAAGAACTTTTCTATATTTAAGAAATACTAGGCATCCCATTCTGGACTCCCCATCTCTCAAGAGCTTTTCCTGTTCTCTATTCCTTTTCCTCAATAAATTTTACTACTCAAAAAAAAACAACCACCTTATTGGCTGGGGAGGCGGGGGAGAAGGTTGTTCATTAAAAGATTCTGTCAGAAAAAAAAAATACTATGACAGCCTGGTGATACCTTTAGTACCAACACTTGGGAGCCTGAAGCAGGAAGACTGCCGTGAGTTCAAGGCTATCCTGCACTACACAAAGCAAGACGCTGTTTAAAAAGGAAAAGAAAAAAAAGAAAAGAACAAAAAGAAATACTATGACTGCACAAGTAACACAAGACATATCCTGATGAAAAAAGTACTGCAGGAGTTTATGTAAAAAAAAAAAAAAAGCCAGAAGGTAGGAGGAAAACCCTGCTAAAACAGTGATTCTTAATGCCAAGGGCCATGAAACAATCTGAAGTTCCCAGGGAAAGAGAGTATGAATCAAAATTTTATATCATGATCACAAGTATTCTCAGGCATATAAAAATAAATTAATGAACAAAAAAATTCAGCCAATCAAGAAATAAAAAATAAATAATTCAGAGTTAGCAAAAACATGAAAAACAGAGAGGAGCATTTAATCCATTTAAAATAAGTAAATAAACTGGGCATAGTGGTGCATGCCTGTGATCCCAGCACTCCAAAGGCTGAAGTAGGAGGATCATTGCAAGTTCAAGACCGGCCTGGGCTACAAAGTGAGTTCAAGGCCAACCTGAACTGCATAGTGAGACCCTGTCTCAAAAAGACCAAAATAAATAAATACTTAATTTAATAAGTAATATTATGTAAAATAAGTAAAACTCTGTCTTATTTTTCTCTTACTAAGACAAAAATTAAGGGAGGAAATACCGAAACTAAAAGAGGGAAAATTTATTTAGCTCACAGTTTGTGGAGGTTTTAGTCCATAATTGGCTGGCTCCCAGGCAGGGTGGCACATGGCAGAAGGGCAACAACAGATCATGGCCATGGAAGACAGCAAAAACAACAAGAACCAAAAAGAGGAGCCCCTTTCAGCTCCCTTTATTTTATTCAGACTGCTGGGACTAGGATAGTGCCAGTCTAATCAGTGGACTGATCCAGTAATCCACCCACCCGTAATTCCAACACCCTTAATCCTAGCATTCAACCATGAATCAGTCACAAACTCTAAAATCAGATACCTCAAAAAAAACCCCACCTAAACGTGCATGAGGTTTTGCAAGGGGACATCTAGACACAAACCATAACAATCTTGAAGTGAAAATGACAGTACTGTATGTTAACAAATGGGAGGAAGAAAGGTGGAAAGAATATGTTAGCCTGATGTGATGTCACACACTCGTAATCTCAACATAGAAAGTTAAGGCAGGAGGACTGCTACAAGTTCAAGGCCAGTCTGGATTACACAGTGAGTTCAAGGCCAGTCTGAACTGCATAGTGACATCAAATTTCAAAAAAAAGAATATGTATAATAATTTCCTCTTCTTTCATAACTAAAAACTCTAACATGCTAGAAAAATAAGTATCATTTTTAAAGTTTTTAATCTTTTCAAGCTTTAATAAATTCTCTTGTGGTGAATAAGTATTTTTCCAAATTTATTAACTGTTCTTATTTCATTTCAGTTTCTTCTTTTGCTAAACATAAAGAAATCTATGGTTATGATCCCATTTTCATAAAATTCTTCTATCCAACCAAACACTCATCTTTATCTTCAAGAGAAGTCTGGAATGGTGCTCACAATGTTTTTGCTGGATGAGATGGTTGTCACTGTTGTTACTGTTACTGCTGTACTGTTTGTGGTCTGGGAATCAAACCCAGTTCCTCACAGATGCTAAGCAAACCCTGTACCACTGAATTACCATACCCAATCCTTGCTTTGTTGGTTTTTTAAAATTGCTTGTTTTGTTTTTACTTCCTTAGCACTTTATCACTTAAAATGCTCATAATGTACACATACCAATTTTACAAGAATATTCAAATCATAGCTCTTTTTAAACTGAAGAACTAAATTGTAAAGCAGCATTTTTGGTTCATTTGAATCTTTCAGGAAACAAAAAAAAAGTAAGTCAGGGAAATAAAAGATTTCAGAGAGCAATCACTTCAAAACAAAAAGAAACTCACTGTCACAGCAGCCACTCTGCGAGGCTGGGTCACTCCGACCACTCTTCCTTCAGCTGTCCAGCCAGCTTCTGCCAGGTACTGCAAGCAGAATCACTCGTGAATATACCTCCGACAGCACCTCGCCCAAGATGAGCCTGTATTGTCTTAAAATCACTGAGCAAGGAAACGATAGTGTTCTTGTTTCAGTGAACGTTGAAAATTATTTTACAGATGACAGATATTAAGTTTGATAATATTAGGTACTATGCTTCAGCTCAATTCAAAGCTGATCAACAGAAAAACCAGATTCAACATTCAGACTCCCCAGACCACAAAATTTCCACGTACTGTACTACAGAGGCTTTGAAGAATAAAAAACAAAACTATCCATAGAACACTCAGAACAGTCTGCAGAACAAAGAGTCTTAAACACAAGAGATGATGGCTCAATATAAATATCAAATATACAGTACACTAAAGTCAAACAAAAATAACAATTTGCAATTATACACAAATATATGCCATTACATTTATACAGAAATTTTATTTAGTTAAATGTATTTATCTGATTTATGTAGGTACTCGTTTAATTATAAGGATAATACCCTATAAGGATAACAGTCAGAATTAAATATTTTTATGATATCTAATTATTTTACATGAATATATATTACTTCTATAATAAAAACTTTAAAACTACTGATGATGTATACGTTCACTGATTCAAAAGAAATAAAGGCAAGCTATATAATACAGAAATTAATGAGGACAGAGGGCTACAGGGCTGAATGGGAAAGGACAGAGACAAAGGGAAATGGAAACAGTAACCGGAATGAAACAGCAGCGATGGCCCGAAGAGAGCATCTTGTGTGGCTCTGCCTTTCCGAACCACAGTCATATTTCACGTACCTTCAAATACCCATAAAGTACTGTAAATAAATAATCATTATACAAGACTTTTGCTTTATTTTAAAGAAAAAAAAACCAACACAGGTGATACAGAATTTCAAAACAAGATAATAGGAAATTAATAGTGGTTATTATATTGCATACTTTTGTCTTCAAAAGCATTTCTCAGATTAGCAGATTAGGCATGAAAACCTGATCAAACAATATAAGCACCAATTGCTCCTTTCAGTGAATAGAATTAGTAGAGCCGGCTAGCAATATATATTTTCTAGAAAAATTGAAAAACATACAGCAATGTGTTTCTAGAAAAATTGAAACCATTTTTCTAGAAAAATTGAAAGCCATGCAGCAGTGTTTCAATTTTTCTAGAAAAATAGCCAGAAGGAGAATAGCTGCGTTAAATAGGACCTCTATTCCTACCATTGATTTAAACGTCCCACCAACAGTGTGGAAGCATTCCTTTTCCCCCACAGCCCTACCAGCAATTGTAATTGGGTGATTTTTTGATGATAGCCATTCTTTCTGGAATGCGATGGAATTTCAGTGTTGTTTTATTTGAATTTCTCAAGTGACCAGTGATGCTGAACATTTTTTTTTTCATGTATTTATTTGCCATTTGTATTTCTTCATCTGAGAAGTGTATGTTCATCTCAAATGCTCTTTTTTAGATTGGGTCTTTGAATGTGAGGGGCCCGATTTTTTTTTAATTCTTTATATGCTTTAGATAGAAGTCGTTTTGTCTGAGGGATAGTTGGCTACATTTTCTTTGCAATTCATGGGTTTTTTTTTTTTTTTCACTCTGTTGATGATTTTTTTTTTTTTTTGAAGTGCAAAAGCTTTTCAATAAGATGAGATTCTAGTTGTTGATTCTTTGAAGTATTTTCCATGCAGTTTGGTTTTTGGTCATGAACTCTGCCTAACTCTGTCTTCAAGATTTCTACCTATTTTCACTTCCAGTAGAATCAGCATTTGTTTTAATATTGAGATCTCTGATCCATTTTGACTTTGTTTTAGTACATGGTGATAGGTATGTGTCTAGTTTAAGTCTTTGGCATATTGAAAGCTAGTCTTCCCAGCACCCTTTATTAAAGAGACTATTCTTCCAGTGAACATGTTTGGCCACCTTGTCAAAAGTGGCTGAGTGTGTTTGTAGCTGTGTCTGCATCTTCTAATCTGTTCCATTGATCCTCAGGTCTGTTTTTTTGTCAGTATCATGCTGATTTTATCGCTGTAGCTTCATAGTGTAATTTTAATCAGGCATTATGATGCCTCCTGACTTGCCTTTGTTGCCCACGATTGCCTTTGCTATTCTAGGTTTCTTCTGTTTCCAAATGAATTTTAAGAGTATTTTCTCTACATCTGAGAGGTATGTTAATGGTATTTTGATTGGGATTGCGTTAAATCTGTATAACAGTATTGGGAGTATGACCATTTTCACAATATTGGTTCTTCCTAGCCAAGAACAAGGACAGCAATGTCTCCTCTGGTTCTGGATGAATTTTAGGAGTGTTTTCTCTAGACACACGAGATATGATAATGATATTTTGATCAAGATTGCATTACATCTGTGTAATAGTTTTGGGAGTATGGCCATTTTGTACTAGATTTTAACCCATAGAAAAAAGAAATATTCTTGAACCATGCTGAAAAGAAAGAAAATAATTAAGTAAGTTAGTTCTCAGAGAAGATTCTGTTTCCCTCAGGACGTGGGGGGAACTATAAAGAAATACAAACTCTAACAAATGACCCTTTATGTATTAGTAATATGACTCACAAAGGGTGGAGAAGGACTATGCCAAGTAACTAGGGAAAACAGTATCTCCACTAGATGTGAAAGGGCTAAAGACAAATCAAAGTGTAGTAAATATTAGTTATTGCTTTTATTTGTTTTTGTAGGCCTGGGGCTCAAATGTAGGGTCTTGCACATGCTAAGCAAGTACCCTACCACTGAGCTACATCACCAGCCCTAAATGCTGTAGTGTATCTTGGTAAATACTCAAACAGGGATGTAAGTCAACAATTTTCTTATGTGTTACTAGAAATTGACCAATACACAATATAAATAAATTGTAGCTTATAAAAAATGAGCATTTTGCTGTTTAGAAAGTTACAAATAAGGAAGACTAAAACGAACCCTGCAGTGTTAGACTGTAATCAACATAAATTCACTGCTTAATATATATAAATCAAAATAAATAAGTGCTTTTATATGTATAGGTTATTAACATTCCTTTACATTTCCTAAATCTATCCACTAAGATTCTCAGTTGCAATGAGCACCCTACCATCCAGATCTTGATTTTTAAACAAATTTTTAAACAAAATTTTAAGCAAATTTTTCAATAAAAAGAATCAGAGGCCAGAAATTTAGCTCAGTGGCATAAATGCCTGCCTGGTAAGTGCAAGGTCATGAGTTCGATTCCCAGTACAAAAAAAAAAAAAAAAAAATCAGGGCTTATATCTGGAAACTATAAGGTAAGCCATGTCTTATAGTACTAAGAAGTAAGGAAGTGGTCAAAAAAGAATGGCAGCTTTCAGAAGGAAAATATGAGACAAACTGAAGGCCAAAGATGAAACATTTTGAGCAACACAATAATCACTGTACAAATTTTAACCCATAGGAAAAAATATTCATACTGATATATATATATATATACATACATACAAGCATACATAATTAGAAGAGAAGGAACAGTTTTTTCTTAAAGATTCCATTCATAAAGGTAGAGGTAAAGACCAAAAAAAGATGGTCATCACTAATGTGACAGGTAAGACTCACTAGGAGACACTAAAATTAGCAGACAGAAGTTTACAGGAAAACAGAGTACCTACATTCTAAAATTACCTCACCCAAGATATGCATCAACTACAAAGGGTAAAACAATAGCTCTATAGGTGAACTCAAGCCCCTTAACCAAGTGATTAAGGCTAACCATCCCCAATGGCAAGACCAATCAATATCCCAATCCCTTGACATGATATGCTAAGGATACAATACCATTTCTATGGTGTTTTCACCAAAAATTCGTAAGTTCTTCTAATCATGAATAAATATGGCAGAAACTCAAACTGAAAGACATTTAAAAAACAAATGCCTTGTATACTTTAAAAGCACCAAAGTCATAAATGATGAAGAGAAACTCTCACAGAGTTGGGAGAAATAACAAGTAAGTGTAGGCTGGTCCGATAGCAGTGGGTTATCAAAACTTATTAACATTAGTGTCACTAAAGTTGGTATACCACCCCCCACACTGCTAAATTTGACTGGCTTAAAAAAAAAAAAAAACAAGTAAGTGTAATGTAGGATCCTAGAACTAAAAAAAGTAATTAGACTTAAATAACATTTGTATTCTAATTACCAGTATTGTATCAATGTTAATATCCTCCCTTTGAATATAGAACTAAAAGTAATATAAGGAGTATAAGAAAATTCTACGGATTATTTTGTGTAACTTTTCAGACTGAAATTAAAGCTTAAGGAATAACTGTAAGAAACAGATTGTTGTATATACATATTACTGTAATAATTCTCTCATATTAATTTGACACACAAAAGATACTACCAATCACCCAATCAACATGTATACAAAAACAAAACTGTAAGAATAATAGCTAAGATTCACTGAGTACCTTACTTACTGCCAGGAACTATGCTGAGTGCCTTACATGCATTCCTCCATGTAACCCTCACAACAAATCACAGAGAAAATGACGGCATCGTCAACATACACAGATAAGGGAACAAAGAGATCACGGAACTCGTCCAAGGAAGCAGATTAAAATCTAAGAGTCAGAAATAAAACTCAACAAACCAAAGCCCTGACACATAACCAGGATACAGTTCTACCATTCAAATTCAAACAAACACACACAGAACTCTGCTCTTAGTAATAGCGTTAAATGAAAGAAACAATTTCCATAAAAACAAACATCCTGTCCAAGAAGCCAGTCATCTCAATAGACCATATGGTTCATCAGACTGCTGCACATGCTTATGATTGATTTGATGAGGAAACTGAACGGTACTGCAAGAGCAACTGCAGCGCTGACACCAAGAAGCAGGGGGCATCATGGAGGGAGATCATGGAACTGGAAACTGAATCCCATTTCACTTCTCCATGCTGTAACAGAATGGTCAAATCTGGTCTTCCAGTTACAGAATGGGGTTGAGAACACATCCACCAAGAACA